CGGTCCCCCCAAAACCTCCCTGGCCTTAACCCTGTGATCTGCAGGATCCTCACTTCCGTCAGCTGGTCACAGCGGGTCCCTTACACGGTGCTGGCGGTGATAAGGGGAGCCATCTCTTTAAATTGTTTTTTCATACTTTATTTGAGGGGGATTCTAGTTCAGGTCACATTTTAGACATGTTTCTGTGTGTCAGTTTGTATCTCTGGAATGCCTGAAATACAGAAGGCACAAACAAGCCTTTCCTATTTCTCACCTTGAAGGGCTTAGCAGAGCTCTGGCTGAGGGAGGTGGTGTGCACACACTGGGACACTGCTGTGCTGAAACAGGACATGGTCACCTGTCTGAAACAAGAAATAAATTAAATTCGAAGTGCTGCTTCCCTAGGCATGGTTACCATTACATAGAAAGCAACCTGGTTCCATGTGTCATCCCAGTTACTCGAGAAATGGAATAACAAAGTGCCATGCCCAAGCTCAGGAAATTGAGAGCACACCCGTAAGCAGCCAGCCTGGGTGGAAGCCTTTGAAAAACCACGGCAAAAGTCAGCAGGAGAGCTTCATACAGGAACAGTCATGAAACAGAGAAGAGAAACGAGCCCTCTCACAAGCTCCTCTGGACCCCGATGTTGGAAAGGGAGGGATTTGTTGTTGCCCATAAGGAACTGAACTCACCTGAGAGCAGAGAGGGGTGAAATGCTTGAGCCTGTGGGAGGGAGGCTCTGCTTCCTTGGCTCAGCCCAGCTCACCTTGATGCCCTGTGAATCCCCCAGGACCGGGGGGCTGGGAAGGCATTTCAGTGGTTCCAGCCTGGTGCGCTTGGTCCCGCAGCCTGGACAACACAGACACACCACAGAGCTCACCTGGAGGGCATTTGCACTGGATTTTGAACAGATCCACATTTCCCCTCTGTTTAGGACTAGTATCCTTCCTGCTGTTTTCTACTGAGAGATTACTTTATCCAAACATCCTCTAGACAGCAAAACTGGTCTGGGTGTCAATTTAGGGTCTCTCCTGCTTGCAGAGAAATCAGATCATTCCAGGCAGTGAGGAGCAGGGCTGCAGAGTGCCCAGTGTCTGGTTCCTCCCTCCAGTGGCTGCTCCCCAGGGGAGAGGAGATTTCATGTCAGGAGCTACACAGGTCATTCACTAAAAGCCCCTGAAGAGCCTTTTAACAAAGTCCTGTAACAACAGGACAAAAGGGGGAATGGCTTCAAACAGAAGGGAGGCAGGTTTAGGTTAGACAGTAGGGAGAAATTCTTCCCTGTGAGGGTGGGGAGGACCTGGCACAGGTTACCCAGAGAAGCTGCAGCTGCCCCATCCCTGGAAGTGTCCAAGGCCAGGTTGGACAGGGCTTGGAGCAGCCTGGGACAGTGGAAGTTGTCATTGCCTATTGCTCATCCAGTCCCACCTTCATCCAGGGTGGGATTGCATGAGCTTTAAGGTCCCTCCCAACTCAAACCATTCTATGAAATGTTCTGGTGATACCTAAGCAGTACCTGAGCTCTGAGCCCCTGCTGTCCTTCAGCCTCCAGGCAGTGCCATCCATGCCCAGCAATTCCTCCTTTGCAAAGAGTTAAATGACAGCAGGAGACGCTGCTGGATTTCAGGCTGGAAATCCCAAAGATGTGAATGAGTGGAAAAATCCAGCATCTTCCTCTTCACAGACAAAGCAGATCTGTCCCTTCTCCTCAGTCCTTTCTCCCCACTGACTGCAGCTCTCTCTGCTGCAGTCCTGACATCCTCAAGCCTTGCACAGGGCTGTTCCTGCCAGGGCACAGGGATCCACAAGGGCACAACCGATCATTGTGCGGTCACTCTGCACACCCTGGGCACTGTCCAGGGCCACATTTGCTTGCAGACACATTAAACTTCTCCTCGAAGGGCCATCATTTCCCAATCTCCCTTCCAGCCTCCTGGCGGCCACTGCTATCTGATACCTTCTCCAACTGTTCACAATTAAAACATGACCAAAGACTTGAGTGTCTGGAGTGATACAGATTATCATCAGCAACAACGACAAAAAAAAAGGGAAATGCACCGTTGTTTTTATTTTCAAAAGCTTTTAATAGGACACATTTGTTTTTGTCAGTTGTAAAGATTTACACATGTTTTTTTCTTCTTTTTTTTCTTTTAAAAAAAAAGATCATATCCTTTTTCCAATTTTCAAATCCAAATCATATTTTCCCCATGAGTACCACCTTTTGTTGCCCCGACCAAAAGACTTTGTTTTGGCCCATATACCTGATACAGTATAACAATATATTAACTATTAAATACAAAGTTCTGTCATATATACTAGGTTGTTATGGACATTGCTATGGTACTGCACCTACTCTACTCACCTTGTGTAATAGTGTACATGGGTTATTATAGCCAAAGGGGCAGAAAAGGGGAGACTGGGCATAGCCTAATTTACAGTGGTAATGCTTTTGGTGGTTTTTTTCCTTGTTTTTTATTTTCTCCTTGAATACACCTAGTGCTGAGTGCAATCCACAGAAGTCAAAAACAGTGTTCTTTGTCATCCTCCAAAAATATCTACAGTACAAACCTCTAACCAAGTTTTGAAAAATCACTTCTATGTGCTAGGGGCTGCAAGAACAGAATTTACATTTTTCCAGACATGTCTGCAGTCTCTTTTCCCCCATTGTGTCAGATTGGCAATAACAAAATATCCTCCTCCCATCTGCATACAGTAAATCTACAGTAGTAAAGTGCTGGTGTGCTTGAATGAGCTGGAGAGCCATGCAACTACTTCACCATGGGCAGGGCTGAGCTTTGGGGGGAGAGGGGGTGTGTTTCATGTGGGTACAGTTCTGGGACAGTAAATAGCACTGCAGTATCGTGGAGCTTCAGCTCAGCTGCTGACTCCCGAACACAACCTGGCTGCAGGCCGTGAAACCACGCTCCACGCGTTGGAACAGAGCAGGCCTGGCTCCAGGGTTATGAAAAGAAACTCGAAGATAAGAGCTGCTTCTGTTGCCAAGATGCAGCGCAGACTTTTAACAATTTCTCTATAGATTTCTACAAAAATATAAAAATTCTATCAACATAACCATTCTACAGAATTCCTGTGGATTTTGTACATTTTGTTTAAAAAAGTCAAATTCTATAAAACCCTCCCGAAGGTATTTAAAATGATTTGAGTATTATTGCATGTGCTGCAGTACATTTGTATTTGTCTTTCAAAAGGGCATCTAGAAAAAACTTATCTGGTTTAGAAAACAATCTATTTTACATGTAATTCTCTTCCTGAAAGCATCATCATAGAGTATCTTTTATTTGCTAGTCTTTACTGAATATTAATGTATGATGTAAACTTTTTTCCTACTTCCACAAACCTTGTCAGTAGGCAAAGCCCCAAGCATTAAAATAGAAGAGCCTTTAGGCTTTCTGTTACATTTGGAGTTGAACATTTGGATTGACGTCACATCACTGTTTTGTGCCACGATTTCAAGCTAAAATGTTCAGTGGGTTTTTTTTGTAAGGAAGGATCTGAAAAGTAGTATCATTCCAGCAATGTGAACACAATCCTAATCATTAAGGTACCAAGGATGGCAATTTTTGTGGCCTAGCTAGTTTCCCAAGCTATTTAGCACATGTAAAAGGAAAAGCTAGAGCTCATTATTGGGTGTAAAACCAAAAAGGGATTAAGAATATTTCTCAGGCTCAATGCACTGTAATTTTATTATTTCCTTAAATATGATCTAGGAGAAGAACTGATGAAAGGTTTGTTTGAAATCATTGCTTTAGACAGGCTTAACTCTGGATTTGGGCTGGCATATCAAAGAGAGCGGGCTCTGTATGGGCCTGTGGTGAAGAGAGGAAAAATGTCCCAGCCAAGAATTAATCTAACTGCACTAAATAGTAGAGAATGTTAATCCTCCAACTTCAAATACACTGATTGCCTGACTTCCTGCTGAAAGCCCTTACATTTCTTGTGGACATGTAAATCAGTAGGGACTGTTTATGGAGTAAACATCCTCAAGTGAAAATGAAGGGGCCTAGGGCCTCTCATAGGCTGTGGGGTATGAACAGCATCTTCTCCTTGTGTGTACACTCCAAGCTAATGTAGATACACGTGGTGGAAGCAGCCTAATTTCTGAATGGATAAAAGGCTGTACATCAGCATGTTGTAGTGATTTGCAAAGATTGGTAGTTGTCAAAATTTACGGACTCCCGACAGACAGAATTAGCACAAATCCTCCTCCTGCCTCTGCTGGCATGATCTGTGGACTTGGTTTCAAGCCTCTGACTGTTGGCACACTTCAAAGCATGCCTGCAGTCTAATTTAGCTTACATCTTAATGTGATTTCATGGAAGTGGAGTGGAGTTAATGTCTGGCTTCCATCAGTCATGAGGTGTCGAATGGGGCCAACCTCGAGTGGTTTTCAGGCTGTGCTGTCCAGTTTTACAGATTGCTTTTGGTAGAGGACATTAGCACAGGAGTAAACAGGTAATTTTTGAGATGATTGATGTTATAAAGTAAGGACATGAATTCTGGGTTTATCCACTTTGTATCATCATGTTGCTGCTTAAGGCTATTGATGGATTGGAAATAAATTTGCAGTTGGGGTCATGAAAAATAACTCTAGCAGTGACAGCAAAATACCTGGCTATTTTACTGAAAACCAGCAGTCATTTCAGTACCCACAGACTTTCTGTAAAATAACTTGCAGAAGTGCCTTGATTCAGTAGAACATGAGCATATGATTTTAATTTTTAGGAATTACTTTAATGTGATCAACCTCCAGGCATTCTAGGCAAGAGCTTAACTTTGGGCATGTGCTGAAGCCTATTGTTGTGCCATGTCTGCCCTGATTTCACCCACTGCAAGTCTTAAACTTGATCTCACTCTCTTTTCCACAGAGTGCAGAGAGGAGGAGCTCCACTGAAAACAGAGGGATGAGGGAGGACTAAAACTCAGCAAAATAAAAAGTCCATCTTGGAGACACTGCAAAAACATCTTGGAAGTGACCACAGGCCTCTGTTGTCTGTTTCCTAGGAATGCATGAAAATTAACCATTGACATGATTTTGTGAGTTGCCAGTGGATGATCTATAACATCCACTATGATCCTTTCATAATTCAGTATCTTGTATTGTTAAATGGCTCTGCCTTCACCATCTTCAGACATCAGCATGTTGGACCTTCCTGGGTCTGAGCACTTGCTTTCATACTCTGAATGTCAATTTAATGCAAGATTGGAATATTTTGTTTAAAAATTGCAACTGCTTTTCTGTACTACACAAACAATTGTTTTCCCAGAATATCATTGAAGTTCAAGGGGAAAAATATATTACATTAAATAATCCTTATTTACTGCTGACTGTGGGATACATTTCCTCTGTAATGCACTAATTGGCTACATTGTGTGCTTTGCAAAACAAAATGAAACCCAAACAAAACAAAACAAAAAGAGAAGGGAATAAATATATACTTTTTAGGTTAAAATATTCATAAAAACCAACTTTATCTCAGAAATATTCCGAGATACATAAAATAGAAGAAAATTAAATGAGTCTTTAGTCACAAAATGTACTACATCCCATGATACTAGATTCAATTAATTTAATAAAATATAATATACATATAGATTCTGCACATTGTATTGCTTTTACCTAAGCAGAACATATGCTTAAGTAAGCGTGATATAGGTTAACCACTCTTTTAACCAGCTGGTTCTTTAATCTTTCTTTGGAAATTTTTTACCCAGTGCCATTTTGGAGTACAGAGTTTTTAAGATTTTTTTTCTATTACATGAAAGGAAGAAGACATTTGGCACCAACAGAAAAATAACTCAGGGGTCCATTTCCGTTTGATCAAAGGAAAAGCTAGGAAGTGTCAACAAGTCTTTCTTTGGGGTAGGAGATGTTGCCATACTGTCTGGAAGCAGTGAATCCCCTATATCCACTGAATCCTTGGACTCACAGGATGGAGCACGCCTCCTCAAGCAAACGTCTCCACTGGCAGGTGAGATGCTGTGGGGTCCCCTAGGTACCAAACTCTGCCCATCAGGTGGATCTATAGATATACAAGGAGGGCTCAGTTTCTTCTTCTGCCGCGTACCTTGCAAGCATTCCATTTCACTCACCACCTGACTTATAAAGCCAGAAGAGCTGGACGTGGAATGGTGCTGAGGGCTGTTTTCTATGGAACAAATCTCTATTGAATGTCTCCTTTGATCATCTAACCAAGAGGGCGGTTTTTTTAGCAGACCCTGGGTGTCTACACTGTGATATTTCTTCAGGTCCTTCAGTACCGCGTTGCCAGTATTGCCCACGTTCCTCTTAGGTGTGAGAGGCTGACCCTCCGAACAGGCACTCGAGGCTGTGCAAGTTTCTGAAGTGAAAGGCTCCAAGGAGCTGTTTATTTCAGATACTTCTTGGTCCATTGAGTCTTCAGGGGTCTCCTGATACGAGTCTGCACAAGCACAGGATGCTGGTGCCTGCTTTGAAATATTATACTGATTGTGGGAATGCTGCTGCGTATGGACGCTCGCCCGACTCCAGGCAGCCAACTCATTCACTTCTGAGGGCATCAGAGCCACTGGTGACTCCTCCTTGGGCACAGTGGGAGCATTTGGGTCAGAGAGTTCACTCACCTCGGTGTGGAGATTCTCCTTGCTATCCAGAGAGTCATTCCTTATAGCCATCTGTATCAGAGCGCAGAGGGGTTGGGGAGGAGAGGAGTTGCCAGGTGAGAGAGACAGACCAAACAAAGGTTAGTACAGGCAAGGCACAGCATTTACAGGGCACTCAGCTCTGCTGAGATCCCTCAGCACAGACCCATTGACTCCTATAACAACCTGTGTTGTGGGTTCTACCAGTTCTCATTGTCAGGGATCTGTGCGTTTGTCCCTGTGTGACAGCCCTTCACTTTTCCTAAATGGTTTAGCTTTAGCTTTAGCTTTCTCCTCTAAGGATGGAGGGCTGCAAAACCAGGGTGCCCCCACCCAAACTTACTCATGTTCTTGTTATGCAAAGGATGAAGGTCTACAGCAAAGCCCTCAATAATTTCCGCAGCACAGGAGATCAGGAGAGAAAGATGTGCAAGTGAGCCTGTGTATTCCCTTCTCTAGCTCAGGTGATGCTGAGGGCCTGGAATAGGATCCCCAGAGCCAGCAACACCAGAGCAGCTCTGCTGTGTGTCAGCACCAAGGCAACAGCCTGTCCCTGGCTTTGATCCCTAGGCTGGAGCCACAGCTCTGCACCACCTTATGGCAGAAGCTGGAAACACTGGAATCCAAAGCTGGACTAATAATAATCTGTAATTATTTCAATTCGTTCTGATGCTTAAGTTCAGGCTTCCTAAGGCACATTTTGCCTTGGCTGTCTGGAGCCTTACACAGTATCAGTGCCCGCCGGCAGAAGGAACCTTGGGCATGTTTGGAAGGCTTTGCCTTTTCACTTGTCAAAAGGCCTTGTCAAAAGGCTTTATAAATCAACCACATTAACTGGCCCTTAAAGGCAGAGTATCCATTTGAGAAGACTTTTAAATGATCTTAAAGATAAAAATCTTCACAGGGAAATTTGAAAGAGATGTGTACACTTGGTCCCAATCCTTTAGAAAACTGTAAGGAGATGAAATTATGAAATTCCTCATGCTAAGGAATACTTTTGTGACAAATCACCCCAAAATGATCATACACTTTATATAAATATTGTCCCACAAGGATCATTTGAGCCAAATGATCTCTATCCAGCAAAGCTCTCATCAGCTGCAGTGCGTCCATGTGTGCACAGAAACACCGTAGTCTATTGCAGCATCTGCACATTGCGCTCCCTTTGTCAATGGGGACAGCTCAGAGAATATTTAATGTGGCAAACAATTTCATCCAGTGCTGGTGAATCCTTTCTAGTTAAAATTTCACAGCATAATGCTGGCAACTAATCAGTCAGGAGTGAAGTTATTCTGGTGTCCTCAGCACCAGTAGTTTTAATGAGTGTTTGGGAGAAGAAATCATGTTCTTATCCTGAAAAGAGACACAGACCACACAGAAGTTGAATACAGAAGCAAAAAGTAATTGTTGTCATTACTTTTGCTTGCACACCAACCTGTGTTGCACACCACGACAGTATTAGTCACCACCAGCTCTTTCTTTATGATACAGGCATCTGTGGTTGTTGTTAGTAGTAACAGTACAAATGTTTTACTGGTTTTAGTGGTTTGTTTGAAAAATAAAAGGACCCTCTGCCATCTCAGAGGGGTGTACACCTGTAGCAGCCACAGCTTGGTGTGGGCTACACCTTTGATACAGAGTCCTGGAACTACAAAATCAATATAGGTTTAATTTCAGGTAGAATTCCTCTGGAGAAAAGCCTTTGTGCCATGCACTGCCGAGGAGCACAATCCTCAGCGCGAATGTTTTCCCAAAGCATCCGATCCACTCATCTTCCTCTGCAAGTGCATCGCTAATTGTCAAACATCCCGGAGTCTAAACTGGACGTTACTGTGGGGGCTGTGCTTGCTCTCCAGCACTCTGGAGGGAAAGGCAGGTTAAACACACAGGTTTTAATGTTCAGGGAAAGTGCAAGGACCAGGTATGTGATGGACAAGGTTTATCTATTATGGATTCAGGAGAGGAGAGGGCATGAGTGGAAAGAAGAA